TTTATTTTTGGGACAGAGAGAGACAGAGCATGAACGGGGGAGGGGCGGAGAGAGAGGGAGACACAGAATCGGAAACAGGCTCCAGGCTCCGAGCCATCAGCCCAGAGCCCGACGCGGGGCTCAAACTCCCGGACCGCGAGATCGTGACCTGGCTGAAGTCGGACGCTTAACCGACTGCGCCACCCGGGCGCCCCCCAAGTCTATTTTTTTAAAGTGTTTTTCTGTTGTTGTTCTCCAGGCTGATGCTGTTGAGATCAGCCGCGGTCCTACCGGGAGGGGCCCCAAGGGCCAGCGGCACGGGCACCGCTCACACACGGGAGCTAACATCCACCTCGCTAAGAACACAACACGTGACGGGAAGCTCTACGCCCAACGTGGGGCTGAACTCAGGACCCCGAGATGGAGAGTTGCACAATGTACCATCTACCGCCTGAGCCAGCCAGGCGCGCTAAGGGCTGACGTTCTTACGACAGTTAGGGGGCGCCGGCCCTGCGCTCGGGACGTCCCGTCCTAACTCACTGGATCAGGTGAAGCACCATCAGCATCCCTGTGTCGTCCCTGAGGAAACCGAGGCAGCACAAGGAGGTTAAGTGATGTGCCCAAGGTCTCCTATCTCCACGGTGCCAGTGCCGGCTCAGGACGGCAGCCCCTGGCCCGAGAGCCCGAGCCCTTCACCACTCGCTTCCTTTCCAGAAATCAAAGCCAGAGAGGGGCGCCCGGGTGGCTCAGTCGGTTAAGTGTCCGACTTCGGCTCAGGTCATGATCTCACGGTTCGTGGGTTCGAGCCTTGCATCGGGCTCTGTGCTGACGGCTCAGAGTCTGGAACCTGCTTCGGATTCTGCGTCTCCCTCTCTCTCTGTTCCTCCCCTGCTCATGCTCTGTCTCTCTCCTTCAAAATAAATGAAAACATTTAAAAAAAAAAAAAAAAAAAGAAATCAGAGCCAGAGAATCAGAATATGTTTCTTTGTGGACACCCACCTGCCTGCTGCTGGAGAGGCCGGGGCAAGCCTGCCACCCTTGGGCTGTGGGGGCGCCCACCTGGCACGGCCAGGAGGAGGGATTTGTCAGAACGGTCTCCACCTGTCGGTTCCCTTTCTGGGGATCTGTCCTGCTGGCCCTAAATGCAGACGAGCTATTTATCTCAGCGTGATTTCTAATGCCCTAAACCAGAAACAGCCTACGTGCCCTTCTTAGGAACCCGTTAACCCTTCTCGCCAACGCACCATTAGGCAGCGGTACAAGTCAGGTGTGCAGCCTTCAGGATAACAGAGAAAGTGGCGGTTTCGCTCCCTCGTACGTCACGTGTTGTAACATACACGTTATGTAACGATACGTTACGTATCAACATACACATCCCAGGGTGTTATAATACTGTAGTAAATAAAAACCAAACTGAACTGAAGTGGCCTCAGACACCCTTGGACGTGCGTGGGCGCTGCCGTGGCCATGGCTGACGTCCATGTGTCCACACCCTGCCTTCCAGTACATCAAGATGGGCTCCCCCCACAGGGTTTCTTTCCACCTTCTGCGCCCAGCTTCCCCTGCCAGCACCCAGTTCTGAAGGGCGGCGACATGCACCGACGGGTGGCCCTCACACACTTTCCATCCAGAACAGGCTCAAACTGGCCGCCGCCGGTCTCTGTAAATAAAGCTTCGCTGGCGCACGTTCACGCCTGTGTCGTCTGCGAGCGCTGCCGCAGGTCACAGCTGAGCTGAGTGCACACAGAGCCCGTGGGGCCCCACGGCCAAGCACAGTTACTCTCCGGCCCTCAACAGAAAACACCCGCCAGCCTTGCTCTGGCTTCAGGACAGACCGACACTCAAGCGATTTGCTTCCTTGCTCTCAGCACACATACGTGTCTCACTTGTCTGTCTGTTTTCTTTGAACTTGAAAGTGTACTCAAGGCATCACGACCCCGTGCCCCTGAAACCTTAGCGCGTGCCTTTTACAAGGACAACGTCTGAGATGGGCCACAAGCCACACCAACACGGGGAGCCTCGAAACCGAGGGCACTGCTGCCCAGTGGACAGTGTGGACACAGGTCTCACAGACGTCCCACGCGTGTCCTTTACAGCTGCCCTTCCAGCCCAGGCTCATACGCCGTGTCTCCCCTCTACATCCTGTCCCACCAGGGGCGAGCTGGGTCAGGTGTGGGAGGGCCTGCTGCGTGGGGGGCTCAGCTCAGGCAGAGGCGTGTACAACATCATAGCTTTTACAGAGAACAGGAGCAAACACCTAACCTGGAGAAACCTTCCCTCCGCGAGCACCTGCGCTCTGGCGTCTGGGACCACCTGTTTGGGAAACGCGTCTGCATCCGAATTCAGGACCTTCTTCCAGGACAGAATCCCCATTTTGGGGGTCCAAATAGCTGCACGTGTAGGTATCGACATTTTCCTAGTAAAAAGCTGTATTACCGCCTGGCCGACAGTCACCTCACTCCCCCTGTGCTGTCAAGAAATTCTGGGACAAACCGCACCCCGCTCTGCAGAGCATGGAACCCCATCCAGACCACTCCTGGAGGAAAACGGAGGGTGGGCACAGCATGTGGACTTGGCCGGGGGATAAGATGGAACTTGGAGGGCAGGCATTAAGAAGTGAAACTAACCTGGAGAGCTGATCCCCGGAGGGCAGGGCACACACACTGCGTCATGTCTGAAGACCCCCACGGCAGATGCAGGCTGGCTCGAAGCTGCCCTCACATCCTTGGGGCCCCCACCACGCGTCCAGGGCAGGAATCTCCCACGGTGGCAGCATCTAGGTCCTGAGTGGTCCATCTGGGTGAGTCGGGCTGCTCACCCGGGGTTGGGGGCTGGGCCAGGGGGTCCAGTTCCTGGGGATGCAGTGGGGGAAGGGGAAGCTGAGTCCCAGGACTGGTGCTCCAGCCCAAGGAGGGAAGCCAGACACAAACCACAGGACTGTCACCACGGCCAGCCGAGTGGGGACAGCAGGTGTCTGGTGCAGCACCATGGGGACCTGACCGCAGGCCTCCTGCCAGGCTGTGCGGGGATGGGCTCGGGACCCAGCAGGTCAGCAGTCTGCAGCCTGAAGTCTTCGAAGGAGCAGGTGAAAAGGCAGAGACCAGAGCGGGTGCCACAGGGAGGCCGCAGGGGGAGGTGCTGGGCCGCTCGCAAGCTCCAGCTGTCCCTCCCGCCCAGACGGCCGTGACACAATCACACTCACCGTCTCTGGTGACGCAGCTGCACGCGTCTCCCATGTTATCACGGTGTCTCGACCTGGAGATGGCCTGTACCCCACTCCAGCACGTGTGTACCGGGCTGGGCTGACCGTCCCGATGGTGGTGGAGACCCACAAGCACAGGTGCACTGAGCGCACGGCCCGCGGGCCCCCGGCCTCCATCAGACGTCGGATGGGGGACGGCGGGACAGGCCCGCCCTGGATGGTTCTCACGGGCGCGAACGCCGACTCTCGGCAGACGGCTCCCCCACGCTCAGTGCTTCTTCCGCGGGTGGCGTTTCCGATGGCGAATGAGACATGAGCTGTAGGCGAAGGCTTTCCCACATTCCTTGCATTCGTACGGCTTCTCCCCAGTGTGCGTTTTCTGATGTTTTAGGAGATTCGAACTGCAGTTAAAGGCCTTCCCACATTCACTGCATTTAAAGGGCTTCTCTCCGGTGTGGATTCTCTGGTGCTTGGTGACGTCAGAGCTGTGCCTGAACAGCTTCCCACACCGATCACATTTGAAGGGCTTCTCTCCAGTGTGAACCCGCTGGTGGCGGAGGTGGTCTGTCTTATGCTTAAAGATGCGTCCACACTCGCTGCACCCATAGGGCTTCTTTCTCTGAAAAGGAATGAACACGGGAACCCCCTCGAAGTCATCTTTAAACGAAGCATCGAAGGCATCAAACAAATGTTCCTCATCCTCAGGACTCGGGCTGGATTCCTTGCCGTGCTTTTTGGCCAACGTGGACCTCTTGCTTGGCCTTTCCTCCCCAGACGACGCTTTCTCTCCTTTGGGTGTGTCCTTCAGTGAATGCACTTCCTCCTCTGGGGTCTGGGCCTTCCTTCCACCCACGGGCTTTTCCATCGTCCTTTGTTCCCAGGAGGAGGGGCCACTGGAAGCCGGGAAGGGCTACTGGGGAAGGCCGGGCCGGATTCTCCACTTCTGCAGAAAGCTCGTTCTTTACACACAGCTTTTCATCTGTCCGAGCTTGTACCGAAGGCTCTGGAACGGAATGTCTGCACCAGAGAGAGACTCCACCAACCCCTGTGCTGGTGGAGAAGCCACAGCAGGACTGTTAGATCGCACCAGCGTCCGGGAAGAGCACAGCTGGGGACTCTCGTGGCACAGAGTCACTAAGGGACGGATGGGGGCGGGGCGCGCTGGGGAATTTGGCCCCTTCCGTTCCCCGCTTGTGTGCTCGTTCCCCTTGGACGTCTCCTGAGCCTCTCAAACTGGACGTGACCAAACGGGACGCTCGCTCTAACCCTCTCCCTGGGGCGGTGCCTCCGGGCCTGTGTCTGGTAGGATCTGACGCGTACCACGACCAGCAATCCCATGTGGTCCCCAAGTCGGGAGTTTCCCCCACCATTTTCTCCCTCCCATCTCCACTTCCTGTATTTGGGACTGGACGATGTGCTTTGGGGGCTCTAGGCTGAGAGGTGGCATGTGCCTGTCAGTTAGAGCCTGGAGTCTGAGACGGATCAGACTTGGGGCTGGCTCCCTAGTGGGCGCCCTGCCCTCCCCCCATGGTCTGTCTCCACAGAGCAGCCAGTGAACCCCCTACCCCGTACCTGCCCCGGTGTCCCTCATACTTACAAGCCCCACACGCGCCTGACTGGGCCCATCCCTCGGCCCTCTCCTCACTCCCATCCTCATGTCCAGCTTTCTTCAGACTCCTCAACCAGACCCAGCGCTTCCTGCCTCAGTGTCGGGCTGATTCCAGAAACAGGCCAAGCGCAGGTTTTTGCGGGGCCGGCCCCTCACTTCATTAGGAGCTCTGCTCCAAGGGCCCTGCCCAGAGAGGCCTCCCGGACTCAACCAGTGCCCCCCAACTCCCTCTTCCCTAACCCGGCCCCAGACTTCCTTGTAGCATGTCACCAGAGCGAACTCCTCCCAGAGCCAAAGCCCAGGCAACTATCACCTAGACCTTGCTCACACTGTCACTGTCTGAAACACCTGACGGACCCTGTCCCTAACTCCCTCTAACAGCATCCCAATTTCGCCACGAATTGAAACAGGGTTCACACAGCCCAGGTGTTCGCAGAAGCAGCACCTGCACGTCTCATCTTGTTTGCCGCCATCCCTCTCCTGTCTCTTTTCTGTCTCATCCGTCAGCTTCCTGGACCTGCCTCTTCTCTCAGCGCTAACTGATGGAATTCTAGCAAAAAGCCTTGACAGACTGCAGGCTCTTTAACTGTTGGTGGAAGATACTCCATGAGATTAAGGCCTTTTTTTTTTTTTTTTTTTTAAAGAAAAAGCTCCAAAGGCAGGTCCTGTTTTAATTTTCCAATATTCCTTGCAGACCTTCCTTGTTAAGACCTTCTTAACAAAGGTATCTCATGACCTGTGACGACTACCTGTACCTACTAGGAGGCCCATAATCCTGACAAGCTGTCCTACCCCCAAATGGGATGCCCTACATAACACTCCAGGTGCTGTATTTTTCTTTGAAACTTCCTTTCCATCATCTACTTACTTACCATCCTTTTAATCTGTGTGTCTACCCAACTCTGTGCGTGAAAACACAGGTTTTTAAAGTAAGCTCCATGCCCAACGTGGGGCTTGAACTCAACACCCCAAGATGCTCTACTGACTAAGCCAGCCAGGCACCCCCAAGTGATGTATGTTTTAAGGTATAAATACTCTGAATTCTCTTTAAGCCTTTCCTCTTCTCCCCCACGCAGAGGCAATACATAAGACGCCTGTAGAAACTTCCCATCCCATCCTGATAAGGAGTTTGAGAATCTAGTTTCTTCTAAATAAAAATGTTTAGGGGCGTCTGGGTGGCTCAGTAGGTTGAGCGTCTGACTGGTTCAGGTCACGATCTCGCGGTTCATGAGTTCGAGCCCTGAGACCGGCTGGCTGCTGTCAGCGCAGAAGCCGCTTCAGAATCTCTGTCTCCCTCTCTCTCTGCCCCTCCCCCGCTCATGCTCTCTCAAAGATAAACTTAAAAAACAACAACAAGGGGCGCCTGGGTGGCGCAGTCGGTTGAGCGTCCGACTTCAGCCAGGTCACGATCTCGCGGTCCGTGAGTTCGAGCCCCGCGTCGGGCTCTGGGCTGATGGCTCAGAGCCTGGAGCCTGTTTCCGATTCTGTGTCTCCCTCTCTCTCTGCCCCTCGCCCGTTCATGCTCTGTCTCTCTCTGTCCCAAAAATAAATAAACGTTGAAAAAAAAAATTAAAAAAAAAAACAAAACAACAACAACAAAAAGAAATACCCTAAGAATTAACATTAAAAAACAATGTTTACTTACACTTGATTGGGATTCAGGCCTATGTGGCCCCAAAGGCTCTACTGGAGGCAGCTTCTGGGAGGCTGTTCTGAGCATCAGGTGGGAGCCTGAATCGCAGGTAAAGGCAGCTCATCTGGGCTGAGGGGAGCATGTAGAAGTAAGAGGGGACCCCTGCTGGAGAGGGCAGGTGGACGGAGGGCAGAGGACCGAGGGCAGAGGATCGCCGCACCAGGCAAGGAGGCTGGAGTCTAGCTTCAGTGGGAACCTGAAGGAAACCAAGAACCAACATGAAATGAAGACCCACCCAGCGGAGGGCCTGCGTGGGGTTTCTCTGTGCTCCGGTCTCCTATCAGGACTGCCACCGGGGCAGCAGCTGCCCTGAGATGTGGCTACTTGCGGGCAAGGGTCATGGCTTTTTCACCCCCGAATCCCTGGTTACTGGGCAGGAGCCAGCACATGCCGGTGCCCAGGAAACATTCTAGATAATCGACTTGTCTGCCTCAGTCGAGCTGGCAGGTGCTTGAAGGCAGCAACGGTATTTACCCACTTCTCTAAGTGCACAGCACGCCAAGTTATTAAATAGTTAAAAACGCGGTAGACCAGAGGTTCTGGCCCCTCCCTTCACAGGCCTGTGGACACGAGTGCCCGCTGCAGCCGCACAGACCACTCAACCCACCTGGCCGGAGCAGGGGCGTCGGGCCCAAGGGCCGGTGCCCGCCGCGCAACGTCGGGGCAGCTCTTTTACTCTCTGGACCAGGCCCCTTGTGCCACAAAGCGTTGGGGAGCCACCGCGGCCGGGGCCCCCGGGACGCCCCGCTCACCCTGGCCCCGTCCCCCTGCCTTCAGAAGCCGGGGTCTCGGGGGGCGGGGGGTCTGCATCACTAGCGGGTCTGGGATCCACGGGCAAACGTGCACCCCAACAGTCTGCTGGGCCCCCCGCGGGCCAGCAGCCACGAGCCGTGCCGAGGAGGGGGAAAGGGACCCCGAGGGGGCAGCACGACGCACCCCCGCCAACGACAGGGCCTCGTCAGCCAAGTGTGCAGGGCCCTGGGACGCCGCCTTCACCTCGATCCGCACGGAGCTGGTCCTCGCCCTCCTCCCCGCGGCGCCTGGGAGCCCAGAGAACCCTGAATCCCCGGCTGGAGGACGGGGCGAGCGCGCCCGCCACAAGGCGCCCGGGAACGACGTCCCCCGCGCCGGGCCCCGCCGCACGCCAGTCTTCCCGCGCCGGGCGACCGAGGCCCGCCCGGCCCAGCAGCCGGCCTCGGCGCCGACCGGAAGAGCCCGCCCCTTCCGGCGCCGCTCTAGGAGGAGGCCCCGCCCCCAGGCCTCTCAGTGGTACTCCGTGGACGGCCCCGCCCCCAGCGCCTGGTGCCCTTTCCTGGGAGGGCCTGCTCGTCCACCCTCCGCGCCCGTCCGTGCTCTCACCTCTGCGCCCCCTCCCTCGCGCCTGCCCCTCCCTCGCGCCTGCCCCTCCCTCACTCCATCCTCCCTTCCTCCACCCTGTCCCTCATCCCTATGCTCACCCCTGAGACTCCTCTGTCACCCCTGCCCCCTCACTCACCCCTCTCCAGCCACCTGACTGTGCTACTCACACACAGCAGGTGCACTTGGCCTGTTCAGTTGCACTGGCAGCGTTCCCTCTGCCCGGATGCTCATCCCCAGCTATCTCCTTGGCGCACTCCCACCTCCTACTCCGCGTCTCCAGGGAGACCCGACTGCTCTCTGTATTAGTTTCCCGGTTCCCACAAATTTAGCTGCTTAAAACACTTGTTTGTTCCCTCACTTCCTTGGAATAGGTGTCCAGATGTCCTGGCGTGGCTTAGTTGCTTCCCTGCTTGCTCTTGCCAGGCTGCAGTCGTGGTGTCAGTGGCTGCATTCTCAGCTGGAGGCTCATCCGTGGAAGGATCCACTTCCACACTCCCGTGGTTGTTGGCAGGATTCATTTCCCGGTGGCTGTGCCACTGAGGGCCTGCTTCCTTTGGCTTTTGGCTAGAGGCTGACCTTAGGTCCCGGTGGCCACCCACCATTCCCTGCCATGTGGCCCCTTCCAAGGCCAGTTCCCAGCATGGCTGTTTGCTCCTTCAGGGCCAGTGGGAGAGCCTCTCTTCCCAAGTTGCTCAGATGGACTGTCACAGAACATAGTCTAACCGCGGGAGTCACCTCTTGGGACCTTCCTCATATAACAACAGAACCATAGGCATTACCTCCTGTCACCATCATACAATGTGACTGAACTGCAGGAGTGACGACCTGTGTCACCTTAGAAGCAAGTCCCAGGTGCCCCCTGTGCTTGGAGAGGGAAGCAGAGTCCATAACACCATAGTTGGTCTCTTCTCCCACCCCTGACTCCCCCACCCGTCCTGCATTTTCTCATAACACGTTCCACTAACACACTATGTAATCTCCTTATCAGTGTGTTTATCACGTACAGGCGCACCTAGGAGGGTGGGTTGGGTTCCAGACCATAGTAGTAAAAGCAAATATTGCAATGAAGTGAGTCAAATGACTTTTTTTGGTTTCCCAGTGGCTATAAAAATTATGTTTACACAATACTGAGTTATTAAGTGTGCAACAGCATTGTGTCTTTGAAAAAACAATGTATGTACCTTCATTACAAAAATACTCTCTTGCTAAAACCGCCAGCTGAGCTTTCAGCCAGTGCGTCTCTGCTGGCCGAGGGTCTGCCCCGAGGACGACGGCTGCTGGGTGGTCCGCGTGGCGGCGGTGGCCAGTTTCAAAATAAGACGGCAGTGTGAAGTTTGCTACGGCCGCGGATGCTTCCTTTCACGAACGATTTCTCTGGAGCAGGTGATGCTGTTTGATAGTATTTCACTCTGGGCCACGGTAAAACTGTCCATTAGAATCACCCTAGCATCCTTGAAAAAGTTTTTTTTCAGGTGTCACACAAGAGCTGGTGAAGCAATGCCATAGGGGCTGAACCCCGTGACGCACGACCATAGAGGCCCCCCGGTGACCCTCGTGGTCGGTCAGCTTAGGGGGCATCAGAAGGCAGGCCCCTCAGTGCAGTGCCGCTCAGCCAAAGCCGTGCATCTCAAACACCTGCACAGCTTAGGGAACCATCGCCTGGACCCCCCTCCCAGGGGTTCTAACTGATGGGCAGGGGCAGGGAAGTGGACACACAACACTGGCATTAAAAAAAAAATTTTTAATGCTTATTTATTTTTTGAGAGAGAGAGAGAGAAAGAGTGTGAGCAGGGGAGAGGCAGACACAGAATCTGAAGCAGGCTCCAGGCTCTGAGCTGTCCACACAGAGCCTGACGTGGGGCTGGAACTCAGGAACCTTGAGATCATGACCTGAGCTAAAGTCGGACGTGTAACCGACTGAGCCACCCAGGCGCTCCCAACGCTGGTATTTTAAAAGTGCCCCTGGACGATTCTACTGGGCAGCCAGGTCCAGAGCACAGGTGTGGTGACGCACAAAGGGCTCTGTGAAGCCTTGGACGCAGAGCAAGGTGGAGACATAAGAGGTCATCAGGTTTAGTATGCTTCCAAGAAACGCTGATTCCTTACCTGTGGGCTTGTTCCTCAGTTATGGGTCACACACCTAGAAAAACTCACATCTGACTCCTGGAGCCTACATTTTATGACAAGGTGGGCAGTAATGGGTCACACACCTAGAAAAACTCACATCTGACTCCTGGAGCCTACAGTTTATGACAAGGTGGGCAGTAAGTACACTCATTCTCCAATTATGTGATCTTCCCCATGTTCATCTGCGGACAGGTTCCCCCGGAGGCAAATTACTAGGGTGTCGCGTGGGTGGCAACAGGCCAGGGCAGCCCGACCCCCAGGTGACATCCGCCGCGTCCCCCGCAGCGTAAATTCACTGTCAGGCCCACCCTGGGCCGAGAGGCTGTGGTCTGCTCGCACGGCTTCTTCCAAGAGGTAAGCTTCCTTCCCTCAAGCCTGTGGCATCACTCTGTGACTCTGTTTCCTTCACTTGAGCCCGTGACTCTGTGACGGCATGCCGTCTGGAAGGAAAGGCCCCCCGCCTGTGGCTGGCGCATTCGACGCTTCCTCCTCTGCAAACATTCCGAAGTCAGGATTTCTGGGATCAGGTCTCTCCAGGTGCGTCTTCTGCGGTGGGATGAGAGCCGGGTCGTGGCCCCGACACTGCCACATTCACTGCTCATCTCAGGCTCCTTTTGGGAGGACCGAGGACACGGAAGGGGAAGGCATGAGTGAGGCTTTCCTGTGTCTCCATTCCTCCCCCCTCCCCCCATTCTCTAAGAGCCTGTGGCCAGGTGGCCCCCCCACCCCCCACCCCTGCCAGCAGGCCCATCACAGAGCCCAGGCCGCCCCCCTGCCGCTCCCTCAGGCGGGATGCACCTCTGTGCAGGGATCCTCCTCTGAGGCTGGGAGGCCTGAGTGTCAGGGGACACTGACCACAATGAGACCCCTCCGCAGCTCTCAGGTGGGGGCCCGTGATCCCCCTCTTTCTGGGAGGTTCCAGATGAGCCTTGGGTCCATCGGCTTCTGCAAACCTGGCGGTCACCAGAGGGCCGGGATTCAGCAATCTCCATCCTCAGGAACGTCCTGCTTTTGGGTCAATGCCTCATCCTCACAGGGAGAACAAGGGCAGGAAGTGCACTGTGGCCACCTGCTTCCTGTGTTGGGAGAAAGGAAGTCCTGAGACCACCTTAGGACTCAATCCTGGGGTGGGGTTGGGTCAGTGGACAATGGCAGGCCACCAAGGGGATAATGGGGGGGGCAGGAGAGGGGAGGAGCTCAGGGTCGTGGGGAGGACGGAGGCTGCAGGGGAGGGGTGCCCAGGGAGGATCTGCACGTGCCCTCCCCCAGCTGGCAGGTCCTGTGGGCCCAGAAAGGAAGGGGGCACAGCATTCTTCCTCAGCTTGCTCCCAGTGTCAGGACTGGATGGGGCACCCAGCGCCCTGAGGCAGCCCCAGGCTGGTTTCAAGGCGGGGGTGGCGAGGCACCTTGGGTAGGGGTCCCTCGGCCTTGTTTGTCGACTCCATGTTAGGGGTCACTTGTCCGGCAACATAAGGGAGCAGGGTGAGTGGGCGGACTCAGTGGTGGGAGGGGAGAGAAGCGATGCCCCCACAGGCCAGCGTGAGGGGGCCTGGAGCCCTCACCCCCAGGAACAGCTCCAGGGGTGAGAGCAGGGGCCATCACAGTCAGCCCTGGCATTGGAGCACCGGGGCCTGGCAGCCTCCGCACGGACCCTCGGAGATGGGTTCGGCTTTTCTCCAGTTTTGTGGACAAGAGGACTGAGCACAGACAGGCCGCATGGGTGGCCAAGGTCACACAGCCCGCAGCGGTCAGAGGTCAGCCCCGGAGCTGCATGGGCTCCTCTGTTGTCTTAGCAGCTCCCCGGTCACACTGACAAAGGTCAGGAAGCCTTGACAGCATCCACGCTGCAGGGCAGAGCCTTTACCCAGGACCATCAGGCTCTAGAAGTTTCCAGCATCAGACTCTTGAGGAACACCCTCTGAGGGTCCCAGTACCCGCACGTGCCCTGGGGTGAGGGGCAGGCTCTGAAGGTCACTCAAGCCTGACCAAGGCCCAGAGGCTGGCCCACCGCCTGCAGCCTCTCGCTGTCCTGTGCCGCTGGCCTCTGGGACACGTGTCCTTCCTTGTCGATGGGTGAGCCGGGCTTTTGGAGGGGCGCCTCAGGCCCCCTGCTCAGTGTAGAAGCGGGGACCTAACACGAGTGCGCACCGTCACCCACCGGCGGCGCCAGCAGAGCTGACGCACTTTGCCCAGGAGGCCGGTCCAGACGAGGGCCTGGTGGCTGCAGGGCCGACCTCTTCCGGTGGAACCGCCGGGTCACAGGGCGCGCTGGCCCAGCCCGCGGCCCCCCCCTCCCCCGCAGACATCGTGCCAGTCTGCACGCCAGCTTCCAGATTCCTCCGGAGCGCGGCATCCTCGCCGCTCTGATGACGGAAGTTGCGCGGGGCTCCACCACCCACACGCGCCACAAGCTCCCGAGGGCGGTGGTGCGGGTCCACGATCCCGGTTCCAGTGCGGAAGCGGGGCCTGGGAGTTGTTAGCCTTCAAAATAAAACTTCCAGTCGTCTTACCAGCAATAATGGGTTTGTTCGGGAATGGCAGAGAGCCGCAGCCCCGGCAAAGCAAGACCACAGGCAAGTAAGCCCGCAGAGCCAGGAAGGAGAAGGCTCTTTTACAGAGAAGAGGCGGGGCTGGGAGGGGCTGTTGTAAACTCAAAGTCCATTGGACTAAACTGGGAGCTGGAAGTGTAGTGGCTGCTCATTGGCTGAGCTGTGACAGTCTCTCATTGGCTGGGCTGAATCAGCCTCTCATTGGCTGGGCTGTTGCCGGGGCAGGAGGAAATCTTCCTTCCACCTGCCCAGCGGTAAAGGAGTAGGGAAAGTGGTAGGACCGCCAGGACCACTCTCTTCCTGTTGCATTTGCGGGAGAGTAGCGGGTGTGAGAGCTCCCCCTGCCGAAACTCCCCGCTCCCATGTTAGTGAGGTTTCCTTTCCTGACTTTTCTCAGGTGGGGTACCTGCCAGCAGGCTGAGGCGGGGAGGACGCCTTCCGGTCGGGAGGGGCTCTCTATGGGGCATGCGCATGGGGTCTGCAGGCGAGCGACCGCACAGCCTCCTGAGGCCGGCCCAGGCCGAATCACCATCGAGACCACCAGCTCTGCAGGACAGGGACACCCTGGGGAATCGGGTGGTGGGGGTGGGGCTTGCAGAGAGGGGCGTGTCTCCATTTACAGAGAAGGTCTGCGTGCAGAACCCAGTGCTCTCTGGCCGGGTGGATGTTGCTACTGCAGAACTTATGGGGGACACGGGCATGACAAGGGCCATGACAGGTCACTGAGCACCCTGATGGACAGATGGAGGGAGTACTGGGGAAGCCAGCAGGAGCATGTAATCCTGCCTGGTGGCCAAATGTGGTCATAAAGGCCACGGGCGGGTGCCTGTGAGCTGAATTCTTGGCTTTTTGAGCATGTGCTACGGCACCCCCATCTGTCTGCAGGGCCCCCCCCCCCCCCCACCTGCGCCAGGCTGTCACCATCAGGCCCCATCTTCCCCATCCTTGGCAAACACCTCCCTAAACTCAGCCCAGGGCTGACGCCACTCTCGCTGCCCTCACGGAGCTCTGTCTCAGCCCCTTGTTAGTGGCCGGATTACATCCCCAAGATCCATACGCTGAGTCCTGCTCTCAGGGCCGCAGAGGGTGACTGTGCTGGGAGATGGGTCTTTATGGAGGTGATTAAGGTAAAGGAGGTCACTGGGAGCCCTGATCCAGGCCGACTGGTGTCCTTACAAGAAGAGAAGCAGACATGCTGGGGGGGGGGGGGGGGACGAGCATGTGAGGACACGGGGACAACCAGCCTGTGTGGACCAGGGAGGAGTCCCATTCCCCAGACACCTGTTTCCAAGGGAGGGTGAGCGTTGGGGTAACCTTTGCTGCCCCAGTGCCCAAGGGGGGTGGGTTCTGGGGAGGCCTGTCACCCTCGGGCTCTGTCACTGTCTCTCTCACACTCTCTGGGGTCTGCCTGCATCCTCCCCACCCCTACCCCCTACCCTGGGGCCGCCCGCTTCCTTGGGGGGCATTAGATCCCCACGTCTCTGTGCCTGTGTCCTCAGATGGTTAGAGTTCGCGGGAGGGAGGTGTGGTTAGAATCTGTCCCATGAATTATTGGCATCTCTGTGACAGCCAGCGGTGGCGCGTGGCTCCAGGCACAGCTGCGTGTGGGCAGTGGCGCATCCGGCGGAGGGAAGGGTGTTCTGTCACCTCAGGCTGGGCGTGACTGCAGCCTCTAGGCACAGGCGGCCGTGCCCACAGGGGCAGCGTGGGGGCTCGCCCTCCCCCACCGGCCCATCATATATTCAACCTTAAAAATCCTGACCCTGGGGCGCCTGGGTGGCTCAGTCGGTTGAGTGTCTGACTTCGGTTCAGGTCATGGTCTCATGGCTCGTGAGTTCGAGCCCCGTGTCGGGCTCTGTGTTGACAGCTCAGAGCCTGGAGTCTGCTTTGGATTCTTTGTCCCTCTCTCTCTCTGCCCCTCCCTCGCTCATGCTCTGTGTCTTTCTCTCTCTCTCAAGAATAAATAAAACATTGGGGCGCCTGGGTGGCGCAGTCGGTTAAGCATCCGACTTCAGCCAGGTCACGATCTCACGGTCCGTGAGTTCGAGCCCCGCGTCAGGCTCTGGGCTGATGGCTCAGAGCCTGGAACCTGTTTCCGATTCTGTGTCTCCCTCTCTCTCTGCCCCTCGCCCGTTCATGCTCTGTCTCTCTCTGTCCCAAAAATAAAAATAAACGTTAAAAAAAAATTAAAAAAAAAAGAATAAATAAAACATTAAATTAAAAAAAAAAAAACAAAAAAACAACTCCTGACCCTCTAGGAGCCTGAATCCAGTCATGAGCAAAGGCGGGGTCGTCTGAATCCTGTCTGGATGGCAGGTGTATACTTAGGGGCCACGCAGGGGCTGACAGCCACCCCTGACTTCTGGGCTGTGGCCCCTGTGACCAGGTGAGCCCTTCCGCTGGGCCCTGGGACTGGGCTTTATCCTCCTTGGGTCCGAGGCCCAGCGCGCAGCCAGGCAGGCGTCCAGGGGGTCTGTGTTGGGCGGTGCTAAACTCACTGGCTGACATCCAGGTCCCAATCCCTGGAGCCTTGGACGTGTGGCCTCATAGGCACAGGGCCTTTGCAGATGTGATGGGCTTGAGGGTCTGGGGATGAGAGATTGTTCTCGATTATCTGGTGGTCCCAGGTCACCACAAAGACCCTCGAAAGGGGTTGGTGGAGGGAGATTTGAGGCAGAAGACGGTGCAGAGACAGAGGTTGGAGGGGGGCTGCGAGCCGGAGCGCAGGAGGCCATGAGGAGGCGGGGGAGCGGGAGCTCCTTGCTAGAAATAATAGGGTGTCCTGCGGCACTGGCCAGAGACTGAGTACAAGAGGTGGCTCACGTGGTTGTGGGGGCCGAGAGGTGTCCCCCCTGCCTCTGCGAGCTGGAGACCCAGAAGCCTGAAGAGTGGGGGCCCCGGTGCCTGAGGACAGGGGAGGACGGACATCGAGCTCCAGAAGGGTGAACTTGCCCTTCCCGCCTTTTCGTCCTTTCGGGCCTTCCCCTCGGCGGATAGGGTGAGGCCCACCCACGCGGGCAGGGTCGATCTTTTTACTCAAATGCTAATCTCTTCTGGAAACTCACAGACACACCCAGACATCCTGGGGCACCCTCCATCCGGTCAGGCGGACACGTAAAACGGGCCGTCGCATCTCCCAAAAGCACAGCCTGCCGACGCCTTCATTTCAGTGTCTCCTTGTTCAGGCAGACTTGTTGGGGTGGCGGGGACATGGGCTTGTTGGGGTGGCTGGGAGGGGCAGTGTTTCGGGACAGGGTGCCCGGCAGGCAGGCTTCTCTGCGCCGCGTCAAGTCCTCACCACATCTGAGCCTGCCTCCTCCTGTGCCCTCAGGAGCAGGTTAGGGCCCCGGGAGGGGTCAAGCTGCCCCTTCTGCTTCCCTAGGGGCGGGAATGGGGAGGGGGCAGGTCCTGGCAGGGCCCCAGGACCCCAGAGAAGAGGCTGTCACGGAATCAGGAGCCCCAGGCCAGGGCGGGCTCTGTAGCCTGCACCTGGTGCCGAGGACCGTGAAAGAGGGTCAGCTCCGGAGATGTTGGGGGGTCCTGTGCACTCAGACTTAGAGCACTTAGAGCAGGGCTCTAAGGCAGAAGCTGGAGGGAGAATTCTGTGACGCAGAAGCACCCAGTGCTTCTAAGGGGGGAGGAGCAAGGCTAATCAGGTCTCTTTTGGTCGCGAGGGACTCCATCAGCACGCGCAGGAGCTGGGGCCCGTGGGGTTGCACTGACAACAGTTCACTTTTGCTGAGTGTGCACTGCCTGCCGGGCGTGTGGCGTTCCCCGGGGCCTCACTGAGGCTGGCCCGGCCAGGAGGGCCCTTCTCCCATCCCACCTAGTAGACAGGGAAACCCAGCTGGGGGGTGAAGGCGTTCATCTCGGTCACGGAGCCGGTGGGGCGTGGCGTTCACCCAGGGTCGTGGAACCGGGGACCTGGGCTTACCTAACATTTTAACTCATTGTGGCCCCCGAGCTCTGCTGTTCTCTGATGTGCTTTAGTAGGGGGCCGTGTGGGTGGGTGTGTGCCCATGAGTGTGTGCACTAGCGGGAGTAATGTGAGAAGGGACGCACGTGCAGGAGTGCACACGTATGATAGAATGTGAAAAGGCAATGACAGAGAAACCCAGACAACTGGCTTCAACCCCACAGCAATTTATTTCTCTCCCAAGGAAAGGGGTCCTAAGGTAGGCAGTGTGGGGCTAGTACAGTGGTTCCTGGTCACCAGCGATCCAGGCCCCTTCCTCCTTGCTGCCCTACTAGCCTCAGTGTGCTGCCTCATGGTGCAAAGTGGCTGCTGAGCCCCAGCCATCATTTCAGGGAACAGGAAGGAGGAAGGAGAAGAAGAAAGACATGTCACCTCCACCTCAGGGATCTGTCCCCCCCACCAGACCTGGAGGTTTTCATTAATAAGGAAAGAAGGAAACAGAGAGTGGGAGGCTGTCTACCTGCTGGAGATCCTTGACAGGCAGCGGAGGACTCTGGGCTCCCCTACCCTGGGGATGTTGAGCTGGCGGAGATCAAGGGCCTTGTTCCACACTTATCCACGGGGAAACTGAGGCCCAGACCCAGGCTTCCTCCCTCCCGTCCCAAGGCTCTGTCTTGGCACCAGTCAGGAAGCCAAGAGCCCAGCAGCCAACGGTGCCAGCCTGGCCACAGTGGACACTGGGGCACACTTGGGTTCTCTTCCCAGCCCCTCCCACCGCCCACTTCTCAGGAACCCAGGCAACAGTCACGTGCATGGAGGCGTTTCAGTGGCGGGAGGGTGAGGAGAGAATGGGGCCGCCCTCCCCCCCCCCACTCCGGCATATGACACGTGTTTTCTCTCCCCAGGCTGTGTGGACCCACCCTCTGAGCAGCTGAGGCCTGGACCTGAGGCCCACGTCCTGGCACAGGCAGTGGGGAGAGAGGCCGCAGATGCCAGACAGATCGGACACGCGGGGACACGCGGGGACACGCGGGGAAGGGAGGAGCCAGTGCTGGCCGTACCCCTGAAGTCGCTCCACGTTTATTCTCCAAAGCCGGGGGGTGGGGGACGGGCAGGTGGGTAAGGCACTGGAGTGAGTGCTGGCCATCCAGGGTGTGAGCCCGGCTGGGGTCCGGGTGGGACCACCCACTCAGGACCCCACGGCCTGAAGGCCCGGGAGGAGGCTGAGGAGGACAGTGGCCACCAGAGTGGGGCTGCCCTGGGGGCTCCCTGCCCCCCTGCCCAGTGGGTCCTGCCAGGGTGGGAGGTTGCAGAGCGTGGACTGGCAGCAGGTCACGGTCATCCGGGTCCCCTCCACTGTCTTGGCGAAGGGCTGACACGCGTCTGCGCACCACGCCGAGTAGGTGGTCAGAGGGCCCGACCCTGGGAGGGAACGGCTTGGTCACCCGGGACGGGCCGGGGCAGGGGGGAGGCCCCGCTCCGGGCTGTGCGCTTTCGGCAGGGGGAGACGGGGCTCCTCCCGCTGCGGCCACCCCAGTGGCCCGCTCACCGGTGTTCCCGTGGGAGACGACGGCTTTGCAGAAGCTGTGGCTGTGGACGCAGTTCTGAATCTGGTCACAACTCTCCCCCCTGTGCAGGGCCTGGCAGGAGTAACACTGCAGCACGGCTGAGAGGCGAGGAGGGCTCAGGCGGGGCCGTGGCCCGCCCCCCCGCACCTCCCCCTGCGGCCCGGGCTGCTGCCGGCTCTCACCCCTCTGAGAGCCTGCCCTGCAGGAGCCTCCCCGCACCCCTTCCGCCCCCCTTCTCTGCGCCCGGGGCCTCTGCGCTAGTCTCCCCGTGCTGGGCCTCCACCGCGCCCTCTCTGCTCCGCCAGCCCCTACGGCCTCCCCGCCCCGCAGCGGCTCCGACTCTAGGCTCCCTACTCTGGACGGTGGTGGAGGGTCCCAGCCAGGGGAGAGGTGACGGGTGTGCCGAGGGCCAGGGCTCTTCCTCCCCCTCCCCCGGCAGGCAAGGTGACACACGGCCCCCCTATGCCAGCCGCCAGCGAGCCCGGCACTCAGCGGGGCGCACACAGTGCCTGCGCCCTCGGGTTGGGGGAGACGGGCACCTCTGCCCCTGCCGCCTGCAGTCACACTGGCCTCCTCCTCCTCTTCCTCATCGTCATCGTCATAGCCATCCAGCCCAAAGTCCGCGTCGTCGTCCTCCTCCTCCTCGCCCTGCACCTGCCCTCTGCCTGGCCACACAGGCACGTCTGTGAACCCCTGCTACCCGCGCACAGGGGACACACGCTCGAGGCTGTGTCCCCTCCCTGCCCCCCCGCCTGTGCTTCACCACTTCTGTGCTCTCTCCCTCCCCACCGTGTCCCCCCTGCTGGCCCCCAAGCTGGCGGCCCTGCTGGCATGTGGCCTGGCGTTGTCTCTACCGACAGCATCCGCGGCCATGGGCCAGCCCTTTGCAGCAGCTGCCCCCCACCCGGAACCCCTCAGGGTGGGCGAATTTACAGAAGAGGAAACCGAGACCGGGACCTGCATTTTGAAGAAGTGAAATCTGGGGCTAGGGAGGGGCAGGTTTGGGGATCTGTGGGAGCCCAGGACAGCTGACGTCCACCTCCCTCTGGCCTCAGATTCCAGCCCGATCCCTTTCTCCCCAGTCCCGCCCCAGGCTGGGTGCTCCGAGGGGCCCCGTGGGCCCGGACGATGCCGGCCCCCCGCCTTGCTGCAGGGGTGTCCCCTTGCCCCAGTACCTGGCTGCTGGCACAGCAGCAGGGCCAGGAGGACGGCCGTGGGCACCTTCATCCTGCCGGGGTTGACGGGGCTGTGTGCTTGTCTCCTTGCTCAGGCTCTGGATCTGTGGGAAGTGGGACAGAGGGCACTTCTGGGGGCTTCCTGGAGGCCCCTGGGCCCCGGCCCCCCCCAAGCTCCAGCCTCAAACAATGGGCCTCACTCTCGCCCCAGAGCCAGGCATCAGGCCAGGGACGGCCATTTCCCTCCCTGACTTCGGGGGCCGGGGGGGAACGGGAAGTCACTGTGGTCGGCCTTGGGGGCGTCCTGTCCACCTGTGCCGCTACTCCCCAGCCCGGCTCGCTCGTTGGCCCGCAAACCTGGCCCCGGAAGCCGTCCTGCCCACCCGCCCTGCACCTGCGCCCCCTGGGAGTCAGCCCCGGCTGTGCAGACACCGGAGCTTGGCGTCCCGGACCCTCAAGCTAGCTGCATATCACTGACCTTCAACCCTGAGTCAGCCTCGCCAACGTTGCACAGCTGCTCGGAGAGTATTTTAATACAAACACCATGGCTGTGCCCGCTATGCGCCCCCCCCCAAGGCTTTGGTGGGTGCAGCTAGCTCTGCCTGTACCCGAGGGGCTCATCCCTCACCTGCTGAGACGGCATCTCCTCGGAGAGGCCTTCCAGCCCCCACCCACCGCACACCCCATCCCTCCCTGACCTTGGAGGTACCCCCGGCCCCTCCCCATGCTGCTTGCTGAGTGGGAGCTGGCCGGGCAGGGTGGGGGGAAGCTTCCTGGGAGCCTCAGGGACCCGCCTTCCCTTCTCCTGCCCTCCAGCTGGTGGTGTGTCGCGTGAAAGCCAGCCTGGCAGGCCCCCCACCTGTCTCCCCAGGGGCACCCCTCCTCCTTTACCGGCCACAGACCTGAAGGGGTGTCGAGAGCCCCTCCCCCCTTCCTGGTGGGACCGAGGAGTCGGGTGGGGCAGGGGGCTGGCTTGGACCTGGAGCCGGGGCTGCCTGCCTCAGTGCCCAGGCCCCTCTCTTGGCCTCTCTGGGTCGGTGTCCCTGACTGTCCACAGGCGGCACCTGTCTGAGCCCGGGGTTCCAGGACACGGCGCCTCCTGCAGACCCCAGCGCGGGGACTTGGCTCCCTTAGAGGAAGCCACCCCCTACCCACAGGGCTCAGGGCTGGCGGCTGGGGCCCATGTTTAGAGCCTGCATGGTAAACGGCCTGTGCCCTGGGCTCAGAGCCCTTCTAGGTCAGGGCTTCCTCCCTCGGCCATGCCCATAACCAGGGGGCAGCCCCGGGGCCCCAGCTCCCTGCCCGAAGACCCCTGCGCAGCACGGACCCGGTCCTGCCTGCTCTCCCCAGTTTGGCCGGGCTGGCTCCAGCGGGTGGCTCCCCCACCCCTAGACCTGGCTTCCCTCAGGCCCTGGGCACACTTCCTCTTGCCCTGGCAGAGGAGGAGACGGTGGGGGCAGGGCCACAGGCCCTGCTTTCCTTGGGGAACTGTGCTGTCCTGCGCTCGGAGCCCCTATTCTATCCCTACCCTCATCCTCCCTGTGTTGGCCTCTGTTAATCTGATCCAGACCTGGGAAAGGGGGAAGTGTTTCTGGCTGAGGGGCAAAGGTCTGACATCTGTGGGGACAGGAAGGGCATCTGTCCCACCTGCAGGACACAGGAACGGGGGGATGGAGCTTTGGGGGGCAGATGTGGGCTGTGGGGACAGATGGGGTCTCCACCGCCCTGCACCCCCACTCACGCCCAGGAGCCTGTGACGTGACTGTCAGCGTCTCAGAAGCTCATCCGTTCGCTCCTCCAGGCGTGCAGGCACCCATCGTTCGTTTGTTCAGCCTGGCCTCCACCTCCCCCTACACACATCCACACCCCGGAACCCTCAGTGCTCATTTTCTCTAGTCCTTGGACACCCCTGACCCCATCCCCCTCAACCTTGCAGAGTCTCACCTCCTCTCTCCCCGCCAGCACTGTGGTGGAGGGTGACCGAGGGTCCCCGGCATCTGGCACCACAGTGGAGCTGCCCACAGCCTGTCAGCGCCCCCCGCTCCCGCACCCTGAGCAGATTACCTGGCCCCACTTCTCTGGGGACCTCTGGGGGTCCCCACCGTCCTCCTCTGGCCCTGATGACTCCAGGGACCTCACAGAGGTGAAACATACGGTGTTCGTCCTTTGTGACTGGCTGATTGCACTGAGCAGAATCCTTCAGGTGCACCCATGTTGTCGCGTGTGACAGATTTCCCCTCCTTTGTAAGGCCGAACAGTCTTCCATTGTGTGGCCCCACTGCATTTTCTTTACCCATTCCTTCGGCCCCAGACGGACGCTGGGATGGCGAGTGAGTTCTGGCTGCCGTGACTCGCTGTGTGCACATCATGGGCGAGTGTCTTCAGGTCCCTGCCTTCACTCCGGGTGTGTGCTCAGGGCTGGGGTTGCTGGAGCATATGTGAGTCTCTGTTTAATTGGTATTGGTGTCTGTCCTTCTGCATGTAAACACACATGTGTGTCTCATTAAAAAAAAAAAAGATAATAAAAAGCCTTGAAAATCTCCCTCTTTCCTTACCACCTCCTTCCTTGTGCGGCTCTCCGGGCGAGTGGTGACATTCACCAGCCAGGAGCTGAGCTCTCACCCATTGGTCACTAAGCACAGGCTTCCACGCAGAAACATGGAAGGGGGTCAGAACAACCCGGAGGTGGTGGCTCCGGGCGCGTGGCACCCGCCCCCGCCACGCCGCCTGCCCACCAGGCCGCCCCTCCCTTGGCCTGGGGCACTGGAGGGACACTAGGCACTGCCATCCCCAGAGACACGCTCCTCACTCCGTGCCCCTGCTGAGGGGTTCCTTGCTTGGCCCCCCAGATGTCTGGGGCACCAGTGCTTTATACTGGGGCTCCCCTTGGGAACATCCATGGGGGGGGGGGGACATCATGCGTGTCACTTATCTCATTAGAAATCGATCTCCCTCACACTCACATCTTAGAAAGACTCTGAAAATTATTTTGCAGGGTTTCTCTGCAGCCGTATAAAGGAATGAAGAAGCTATGCCCTGAGTCAGAAAGATACGACTTGGCACGCTGCACGATCTCTCCTGTCTCCACAGTACCGTCTTCCATTCAAATACGCGCCCCCTGGGCCTGTCCATGACCCTGCAGAGGAAACAGTGGGGGCAGGGGAAAAGGCCTGGGGGCCTGGAAAGAAAGACCCTGATGACGGAGATGGAGATAGGAGTCTGCGAGGGGGTGGGGATCACTTAAGTTGAACGTGAAGGCGGGGAAGCTCCAGGACCGCCCGGGGTCCCAGGTTGCGCGGGAGCCCCACATGGGTGCTGGGCTGGGTCCGGCCCCCAGGCTTGGCTGGTTGCTGAGGCCCGTCTGGGAGCAGTATGTCTGCACATCCATGGACAGCAGAGGACCTGTGTCCTGGGGAGGTCCCACTTGGATTCCTGGCAGGTATGATGGCAGAATTTCAGATACAGGGTGTGAAGATTAATAAAAGCAAACCTCACTTGGAACGGAGCTGGGAGGCCAGCACCGGCAGCTCTCATCCCCGACCACTCCTCAAAATCAAGTCCAGACAGGAGACTGACGCCTTGCCGGCTACCAGGCTGGAGGAAGGAAAGTTTCCTCCTCCCCCAGCAACAGTCCAGCCAATGAGAGACAGTCACAGCTCAGCCAATGAGGAGCCACTACACTTCCAGTTTAGCCCTATGGACTTTCAGTTTACAACAGCCCCGCCCCCCATAAAAGAGCTTTCTCAGCTTTGTTCCGAGCTCTTGCTTATTGCTTGCTTGTCCTGGCTTACTGGTCTCTGCTCTTCCTTAATAAATCTGTTTTTTGCTGGTAGGGTAAGGGGCTGTTTTACTTTTAAGTGTTAGAAAACAAAATCCAATGGAGTAAAGTTGAAGACCTACCTGGCAGTCACGAATCAGGCACCGATCCTTCTAGCAAGTAGAGGACAGCTAGGAGAAGTTGTATAAGATGGAAAGATTTGGTAGGGGGAGCGCACGGAGGTCATAAGTGTTAGCCTTCATCTAAAACCTGTTCATATAATTAGAGTCAGGCGGTGCTTACTCTCTCCTGTCTGGATTCTTTCACTCCTGGTAGGCCTGCGAGATCCATCTGTATCTTGGAAGTCCCATAGCATCTGTTTCTTTTAAGCGCTACACAGTATCGTGTCATGGGAATACGCCATAATTTTTAAAAAATCCACCGTACAGCTGATGAGCTTTGGACAGTTTTCAGTTTTGAGCTGTTTCAAATAGCGCTGCTAAGAACATTCTTGTTTCATGAAAAGGATTGTGATAGAATTTACATACAGCTAAGTGTGCAAACTGAAGTGTATAGATTAATGATGTTATACATATATACAGTAAAACCCTGGGTTACGGGGAACTTGTTCTGCGAGTGTTGGGCAGGACGAGCAAACATTTCTAATAAACTTTAACTTGATAAACGAGCGATGTCTTGCAATACGAGTAGTATGTGATCCCAAAGGTCTCATGATCACAACTGAGCCAATGGTTCTTCTCTCTCTCTCTCTCTCTCTCTCTCTCTCTCTCTCTCTCTCGGATTGTGGGTGATTGTCGCCCATGCTTGGATGCTCGGTCTCAGGCCATGGTGTTTGCCAGTGATTTGTCAGAATGCTGGAAGGTGCCCACAACGGGAGCTAGTGCTTTTTTTTTTTTTTTTTTTTTTTTTTTGTCACTGCAAAGCACCTGTGGACAGTCCTTTGCTTTTCCAGACAAGAGTCAGCTTAGGAATGCTTTGCCTCATTCTAGGTCAGGTCGCCTGCAGAAATAGACCCTTTCCTCTGCTGCCTTGTTGCCAGTTGCATGAAATACAGTATATGACAAAACATTATTAACACTGTGCTGTGGTCAACATCTGTGCGAGTGTATACAATAGCCCCCATGTAGAAAAAGGTTGAAAAGAAAGGCGGTAAAAAGAAGGAGGTGATTACAGTGAAAGTTAAGAAGGAAATCATCGAGAAGTATAAGCGAGGTATGTGAGTGGCCGAAATCGTAAGATTTTTATAAGAAGTCTATGTCGGCCATTTGCACAATACTAAAGAAGAAATAAGGGGGCTAGCTAGATGCAGCTAAAGGAGTCATGAGAATATCAAAACAATGGCCATGTGTTCTGGAAGATGTAGGAAAGTTGCTTCTGGCTTGGATAAACGAGAAGTGACTGGCAGGTGATACTGTGACCGAGAACTTTATCTGTGAGAAGGCAAAGGCCTCGTACACCGACCTCGTAAGTAAACCGGCTCGTAGGTCAACAGAAAACAGAGAGAGCTTCGAGGCAAGCAGGGGATGGTTTGATAACTTTAAGAGAAGCGGCATCCGTAGTGTTGTGAGGCTCGGAGAGGCTGCGAGTTTGGACGCTAACGCAGCGGAGGTATTTGCTACCGAGTTCCAGAAGCTCATGGCTTCCAAGGGTTACCTGCCAGAGCAAGTTTTTAACTGTGATGAGACGGGGCTTTTTTGGAAAGAGATACCAAAGAGGACGCACATTATAGAAGAAGAGAACGCAGTGCCCGTCACAGGCCTGTGAAAGACCGTCGCACCCTCTCGTTTTGCGCTAATGCGAGCAGGGGTTTCAAAGTCAAGCCCCTGCTCGTTTGTCATTCTGAGAACCCACGAGCCTTCAGGAAATGCACGATGTAGAGGAGCCAGTTAAACGTTACGTGGAGGTCCATCAGCAAGGCTTGGGTCACTCATATCTTGTTCGTTGAGTGGCTCAACGAGGCCTCCGGTCCTGCAGCGAAGAAATACCTTTTAGAGAAGAATTTGCCGCTCAAATCCTTGCTGGTTATGGGTAATGCCCCTGCTGAGCCTCCAGGCTTTGAGGACGACTTACTGGAGGAATTCGAGTTCATTAAGGGCAGGTTCCTTCCTCCCAACACCACTCCAGTCCTCCAGCCCATGGAGCA